CCCTCCCTCCCTCCTGCCCCGAGGAGCTCTCGAATCGCCTCCACCTGGCGCCCGAGAACATCAAACACAGAGTCATCAGCGCTAACTACGGGCAGCAGTTCCCTCCCATGGCCCATTCACACTCAAGAAAAGGTAAACTCATTACGGATTAATGGCATTTAGTAGAGGCAGGTAATGTCGTTAATGAAGGCAATCACTTATGTTTCTCTTGCCAAAGGCTGAGTCTTACACAACGAGCGTATTTGCATAAGAACGACTCACGACTCAGGCTTCACTAAGAATACACACAGACTATTCCTTTTACTCAGAAATTTCAGGCACGCTGCTTGGCTACCAAAGAACAGAGTAACGAAGTCATGTTGTAAACAATATCTCAGTGACAACGCAGTGGTCCGCCGCCTGAGATACAACATAAGTGTGGACAGATCCCAGAGAGACCTGACAACTCCACAGACTCTTTAGTTTGCAAGTTACACTTAGCACAGACCAGCAAGTGAATGCTCAGAAAACGTTTTACAGGGAAACGTAACTCTATGGCGGTCTTTTTCTCCTCCACCAAAGCCGTTTTTGTACCTCGTTTATCACATTCGTTTTCATTCAACTCCTGAACGAAAGTCATAACTACTGTTCTCAGAGAATCATGCATGAAAAGTGGTTCTCCAAACCTTACACTGTAGACCTCTAAGCCCACTTAGTATGAGGACCTCTGAGTCCGCGGAGACTTCCCCTAGAGAAATCACACCCCTTCTCAAAGCACACCACCGTTTCGAAACTGGGGAATACTTGCAAGCGCAAGGGAGTGCAACACACAGCACTGCCTACAGGCGCACATCAAAGACGTGACCGGCCCCCGACAAGAGCCGAGGGAAGGGTCCAAACGGAAAAAATGCTGGGAAAGACAGTGGCATGAGCGGACAAGGAGTCTCGGGTAAGGGGAAGAATGGGGAAAGGGAGGGCGGAGAAAAAAAAAAAAAGACACTGACCGTGTCCAGGAGAGTGGGGGGATCCTGCGGCGTCTCCTTTAGCGCGGAGCCCGCGGGCGGCGGGAAGTTGGGGCTGAAAACCATGAGGTCGCTCTTGCCCGCGCCCTCCGCCACGCACACGCTCCGGCTCTGGCGCTGCGAGTACGACCAGCTCCCCACTTCGCTGGCGCACACCAGCGTCGTCGGACCGGGCCCCGACAGCACGGACGCCCGCGGCGACCACCGCGACGCCGCGTACAGCACCACGGCCAGCAGAAACACGCTCGACACCGCGCAGATGGCCACCACCAGCCACACGTTCGTCGTCGCCGACGGGGACGCGCCGCCATCGATGCCCGATATCGGGCCTCGCAGCACCGATCCCGACGAACCCGCTCCCACGCCCGGGGGCGGAGCGCGCCGGCTCGCCGTGGTCCCGCACCACGATGAGCAGCGTCTGCCGCGGCCCGTCCGCCTCCTCCAGCGCCCGCGCCGTGCTCACCTCGCCGCTGTACAGACCCACGCGGAACGCGCCCTTGCCCCGCGCCTCCTGCAGCTCGTAGCGCAGCCACGCGTTGTAGCCCGAGTCCGCGTCCACCGCACGGATCTTCGCCACCACCTGCCCCGCAGGAGAACCCCACGACGCCCACGCCCACAACGACCACCCCGACGAAGATGACGACGACTCTCCCGCGCCGCCAGCCCAGGGGCCCGCGCCGCCCCCCGCAGGCGGCAGCAGCGACGGAGCGTTGTCGTTCTCGTCCACCACGAAGAGCTGCACCGTGGCGTTGCCGCTCAGCGACGGCTCCCCCGCGTCCACCGCGCGCACCTCGAACTGCAGCACCTGCAGCTCCTCGTAGTCCAAGGGCTGCAGCGCCCACACACGCCCGCTCTCCGCGTCCACCGACACGTAGCTCGACGCCGAGCGCGACCCCGACGCCGACGCGCCCTCCCACAACGAGTAGCTCACGCGCCCGTTGCCCGCCTCGTCCGGGTCCCGCGCCCACACGCGCGCCAGCTCCGCGCCCGCCGCGTTGTTCTCCCGCGCCAGCACCGTGTACACGGCCTGCGCGAACGCCGGCGCGTTGTCGTTCACGTCTGACACCGGCACCCGCAGGGCGCGCCGGGCGCGCAGCGGCGGCGTCCCGCCGTCCTCCGCACGCACCTCCACCTCGTACTCCGACACACGCTCCCGGTCCAGCGCCTCACGCAGCACCAGCGAGTACGAGCCCTCGAACGTCGACACCAGACCGAACGGCGACGACGGCCACACCGCGCACCGCACGCGCCCGTTCGACCCCGAGTCACGGTCCGACACGCTCAGCAGCGCCACCACCGTCCCCAGCGGCGCGTCCTCGGCCACCGGCACCGACAGCGACGTCACCCACACCTCCGGCGCGTTGTCGTTCACGTCCAGCACCTCCAACTCCACACTACAGTGACCAGATAACGGAGGAGTTCCCTTATCTCTCGCCTCTATGCGGAAATCGAATACGCTGACCTCTTCAAAGTCCAGAGCGGCCGTCAGTGTGATCTCCCCCGTGTTCGGATTCACGTCAATAAGATCCTTTCCGTGGAGTGGAAGGAAATGGGTAGCTGTGTAGGTAATTTCGCTGTTAATTCCCTCGTCTGGATCCATGGCACTCACGCTCACAACTAGTGTTCCCGTTGCAACTCCTTCTGCTAGCTGCACTTTATAGACCGATTGGTTGAAAACTGGCGGGTTGTCGTTCACATCCAGCACCGAGATCACCAGCTCCATTGTGCCCGATAGCGACGGTCTGCCCCCATCAATCGCCGTCAGCAGCAAACGGTGCTCAGACATCGTCTCCCGGTCTAGCGACTTAATTAGTACGAGATCGAGTAGGTTGTTTCGCTCATTCACTTTTTGTAAATCCAGTCTAAAATGCTCGCTGGGGCTGAGTTTGT